AAGGAAAGAAAATTGGGATTTTATACTTAACTTTCCCCCGGTTTGTGCCCATGATACCTGATGAGGATGAGGTCATCCTCCTTCCAGTGAGATCTTGCATCATGCTTAATAACACAAGATTTGGAGCCTAAGCATTATCTAGGATTCTTGTCAGCAGTTTCCCCCTGCACAACAGAATCCAGGGAAGGGTGAGTATGTTATGTAAAATTTTTTCCTCTACAGGTGTTTCCAGTTTTATACTGTGTTTCTACCACAGGGACGGGGCCACACTTTAATGTAGTACAAGGTCCACTTTAACTGCAGCAGAGAAAGTCACAGTCAGCAACCTGGCTAATACCTGGAAGTGGAATCTGGACCATAGATCAGCCAATTAGATTACAATTGTTTTGTCAGAAAAGCCTCAAAGGCACAAATGTTAGTGTTACAGGGCAATGAGGAGCAAAGAATGGAAGGACATATTTATTTTTACTCTTGGGGCTCAGAGTGAATGGGGGCATTTTGACAAGTACAATACTTGTCAAAATGCCCTGTTTTTACAGGGGGTGGGGGTCGGGATCGGGGGGGGTGCAAAATTGCACCTTGCCCACCTTGACTACAATCCTAGCACCGGCCCTGACAGCAAGTGATGTTAATAACCATGTATTGAATAATATTCTCTTTGTTTTCATGAGACAGGTACTGAACCTTACAAGACAGTACATACAAAGGCACCATGACTTGGTTGTTCCCCTTTTGATGAAATATACTTATGAGTGGCTTAGGACAGGGAATCCCATCTACAGGCCTGTATGGTGGCTCAGCCCAGAGGACCCAGTGGCTTTCACAACAGATGATGAGTTTCTTATTGGAGATGAGGTAAGAAAAGGGAGAAAATAAAAGTGAAAACATACAACGATATGAAAATGCCATAAAAATATATCAAAGTGCAGCATATAAAAAAAAAAAAAAAAACCTAAATGAAATACGGAAACTGCCATTGCTGGGCTCCCTATAATAATTCTAGTTGCCAGGCTGTTAGTTGTTTTAGTACTTTCTGAGACACTGACCTGGAAAAAAGCATGAAACCGAGAGAAATCAGACTAAACTCATGCAAAGTTGTGCATGGTCAATGACTCAGAATGTACTAAAACATCAACAGAACAGCCAGGCAAGTAGTATTTTTAGAAGGGAAAAGTAACATTTTTGATACATTCCAAAAGAAGCAAGATCCAGAAGCACTCTCAGTGTAATGTACCTTTATTTGCAGCTTTGCAAAGGCTAAAGAGAGTTTAAAAATTAGTTTGGCTAATTACAATTTCCTGTGCAGTTAGCACACTTTCTCAATAGTTTAGGATAGTTCTCTGCTTAGAACACACGCTTTAATCTCACAAGAGTAGGAAAATTCTTATCCATGTGAGTGCTAAACCTAACCAGTGCTATTTACTCACCAGCAAGAATCCTTAAAAATTAATTTTGAAATGTCCCCATCTTCCCAGCATTTCTACAATCCACCCTGTTACTTCCTTAGGTACAGGTGCTAGCTCCTCTTCAGGGTAGCATGAACCTCCAGGTGTCTGTAAGGGCAATGTCACACTTGGGATCCTGCAACTGGTGAAAACTTGCCAGTGGCTGATGAAGATATTATAGACTTTCAGAGCACTCAGTTAGCACACTGCTACATATGCTAGCCCTTATCACGTTTTAGCTTAAATTTTCTTTTTCTTTTCCTTGTTTTGGGAGTATGCTGTTCTGGTTAGGTTACATCCTGCTGATAATGACCGATTTAAGCCAAGAATACATAGTTTGAGTTTAACACATTTCTCACATGATGTTGATTTCACAATATATCTAATATATGGTCACATGTCCTAGTCAGGGCCAGATTTCCCACAAGGCCAACCAAGGCCCGGCCTCGGGGCAACAGGTAGTAGAGGGACAGCAGGGGTGTGGAATTCCTATCTCCCGATGCCCGGGCGGGTAGTTGTTTTCTACATTTAGCCCTGCTTTGGGCAAGCAGGGCTAAATGTACAGCTAGTCCCAACCTGCAAAAAAAAAAGAAGGGGAGGAAGACTGGGACAATCTTCCTCCACTCGTTGCCTTTCTGTTTTGCTTCCCTTCATGCATATCACTCCTTCCCTAATCTACTACCTACATTCCTCCCCTACCATTCCCCCTACCATTTCAGCCCGCCTAGTCATGTGCCTCTTCGTTTAAGAGAGCTGCACTGCTCAGGACAATCTAAGACCCTTTTCTGCTGCCGTCAGAATAAATACATTAAAAAAAACAGCATAGGAATGAATAGCTAGATTGCTATTGGCTATTTCAATTTGCAATAGCCAATAGCAGACTAGCTATTGCACCCGCCCTCTGCTGCTGTCAATCAGCAGAGGAGGACCTGATGGAGAACTTCAGGTTCACCTCTGCTGATTGACATCAGCAGTGGGTGAGTACAATAGCTAGTCTGCTATTGGCTATTGGAAATTGAAATAGCCAATAGAAGCCTAGCTATTTATTCCTATGCTGGTTTTTGTTTTTTTTCTCTGACTGACGGCAGCCAGCGGCCTGGATGTCAGAAAAAAAAACAGATAGCAGGGAAAGGTTTACTCTGCCTAGATAGAGCAGAGTAAATCTTTCTGGGAGAAACTATTTCTCTCACCCGGGCGGCCGGGAGCCGCTATCTTATAGCGGGAGACTCCCGGAATGTCCGGGAGAGTTGGGGTGTCTCCAAACCAGTGAAAGCAAATCTGGTATAAAGTTCTAGGTGATTCTTATCTGGACAGACCAAGTAGTGTGAGCAATTCATGTTACTACTCAAAGGGGTTTAGATCAGTGTACAATTCTGTATCTGTTATTTAAAATCTTCTTTAAGCTTTATTTGATGTTTTTTGTGATGAATTCACCTATTTCTGAAATATTTTAGGGTCTACGTTCTGGAAATGTGTGGTAGCTAGCTACTATATAAATAAATTATAGCTGACAATCTCTACATACTTCCTTTTATGGCTGTAATTCTCATATCTTGGATTTGGGCTGAGAATCTTTTCCATCTGGACAGTGTTTGAACTGTGGCCCATCATTCTGTGGTAGTAAACATTCCAGGGTTTATTGGCTGAAATCACTCATTTTAGGCCTTGATCCCATTCAAACAGCTTTATGGATCATATTAGTGTCTGACACTTTGATGTTGACTCCATTGTAAGTCCAGACTACTTCACACATCCACATCAATAAATCACAGACCCAGGCCTTTTCATGTCAAAGGGAAGAGGTGAAATGATGTATTTTGAAGTTATGGCCAATTAGTCATTGTTTCCATTGCTGAGAGAACCTTTGAAACATCTGCACTTGCCTCAAATGATTCAGAGTTCAGGCTGCAAACATGACACTCCCAGAAAGAGCCAGTGCCATGTGGATCAAGTTCCTTGAGCTTCCATTTATCACGCTAATATTACATTCTGTTTTTCTGAGTGGCTGTCATGATAATAGATTTTTTTGGAAATCAGCTGAAGTCTTACTTTACCACTTTACTTATGTGTCTCATTGAATACCAAATTGCAGGATGGTGAAAGCAGCAACTTTGCAAATAGTATGGTTGGCAAATAGTATGGAATTGGCGTATCTTTATCCCACCAATGTCTGTAAGGACATTTAGGGGACTCTTTATACATTTTCTCGATAAAGATCTTGGCCCATTTTTTTATTTGATTCTTCATGTTCACTGATTATTACTGTGGTTTTTGCCAATTTTCATACAAGATCCGCCCATCATTTTACAATCAAAAATTGCATGCAACAAGATTCACTCCCTTCTGTTCTATCGATCCTACTTATCACTTAGTGAATATACATTTGTTTTGATACTTGCCCAATATTCACTCATTTTATTATCTGCACAGTGTTCAAACTATTGCTTTGAAGCTATGGATTTTTTCATCCATGAGAGTGCTGAACCTGTGTTTTTAATACAGGTTAAGCACTTCCGTGCTTAATATGTGTTTTTTTGTATTAAAAAAAATTAAATGGCATTGGCATACCAGGCATGCATCCCCATAACAAGGAAGCTGTGAGTGTGTAGAACCCCTGCTATGCTTATTCCAGCCTACATGAATGCTAGTGACCTTTAGGCTCTTAAGCAGACATGATACCTAGGAGGGGTGCCTGCAAGAGGAAGGATTATGTTCCTTCCCTGCCTCCTACCTAATGAACTGCTTTTAGGGGTTCCTACTCTCTTACCCGCTCTGTGG